TTCCCATATTAAACATATCTGCAGAGTCACTTTCTCTTCAGCCATCCCCTGTACAGACTTACGTGGAGGGGAGGGATGGCAGGAGCACAGGAGTGGGAGTCTGGTACCTGGCTCTATTACTTATTGTGTAGCTGTGGGCCAGACGCTCAGCTCCTCTGGGCCACAATTGCTGAGTCAGTAAAATAAAGGTGCCTGTCTTTACAATCTGTCACTATTATTCACGGTAATTCTCTGGTTGCACTAAGCTGTGTGTTTCCTAGTCCCTCAACTCTTGGCAAACATATATATGTTTATATGTTTATATATGTGTGTATATATATGTGTATATATGTGTATATATGTGTGTGTGTGTGTGTATATATATAGTCTTACAGAGCATGCAATTCCCCTTGAACACCAGCACTTCATCCCATGTGCCCCATCCTTGCAGTGGGTTAAGGGCTGAGAGCCAGGGAAGGAACAACTGCTCTTTCAGAGGTCAGCGCAAAGAGAGGAGAAGCCAGAGGACTCAGACACCAGGAATTCTATTTACATTTACAGCAGCAGAGGCCACGTAGAAATATTAATAGCTTTGGGCTTCAGTTCCCAAATTACAAAACAAAACACAACAAAAATGCCATTTGGTTGGAACAGAAATTTCAACTCAGATTTTTCTGAAACTCTTTATTTATATATACTTCTTTATTAGTTAAAAAAAAATATTCTGGAATTTTTGTTCTTTTCTTTTTCCTGGGAGGTGGAAAGAAAACAACCTTTTTATATTTATATGAATATGAAAAATCACTGGAAAAGTCATGAAATTTCCTCATGATGACTGTATATGGCTAACAGTAAAAATACCAAGTGTACACATATTTGTAGCATGAATCATCTCTTAAAATGCCCCATGGCTTTTCCTTTAAATAATGAAAAGTAATTAGCATTCAGCATCACTAGGTTGCTAGCAGCTGTTACAACCTGATCATTACTTCTGTTAGATCTTTGGGATGTAGTATCTTTGCCCTACAATTCAGCCTACATGCTGTCTTTAGCTAACTCAACACCTGAATGAAAAACTTGTCATGAGCCCTTTTCCTAATTATAAAAATTAAAGATATCCTCTCTGTATTAGGAGCTTTAGAATAACCATATTTTAAATAAGTGCCCCTATAGATTTTGAATTCACAATGTATTTCAAATTTGGCTTATTTTTCTCAATGCAGGGTATGTCCGATCTGAAGTCAGGATGAACCCATAGTACAGTTACTAATGTGGCCTTGGATAATTCTGCCTGGCTGGCAGTTTCGGGATTGGTTGAATCCTGACTCTATTTTCAGAGGAAACTGGGCTTTGTCCCATTGGCAAAAAGGGGTCACTGGCAAGGTGCTTGGGCCAGAGGAGGGGTCAAGGTGTTGATGGCAACTGTGGTGGGCAGCACAGCTGCCAGGAGTCTTGGTGATGGGAGGAAGAGTAATTCTTAGCCAGTGATATTCTTTGGACATCTTACTCAACATCGGGGGACTCTAATCTATAATGAGCACTCAGGAATATAAGGCTTTGGGAAGCACCTACTATCAACCTCCTTCCCATGAAGTCAGTCTTCGTAGATGGAAGGAATGGTGAGTGACTTGGGGTGGAGTGTGAGTGGGGTGGGGTGGGGAGTAGCACCTCTAGTGGCAGAAACTACAGATGTTCATCCTAACTTTGAGGAAGATGGTTGTCATTCACTCAGGTTTGAGATGTGCAGGTTTGGGGGCAGAGTTGAATTTCTCAGGATCATAGAGGAGACAAAGATGAACTGTACCCAGAGGCAGAGGATCAATATGGGACAGGCCAGGCCATGGGTGGCTTGGGTCCACAGCTAAAGTAATTGCTCTGTTTGACAAGGGGCAGATCTTTATTCCTGCTGGATACACAATCAGCTCAGTTGTGGAGGTAGGAGATGTGGGAGAAATTATATGGATTCTAGTCTAGAATAGCTTCCATTATCTCCCTCACTTTTTCTTGGCTGAGTATGAAATAGAAGATGCTTTGTGTTTTAGACTTTCGTTAACGTGTGTACCAAACACCACTAGGGAACCAGCTTAGAGGGCAGTGTGAGCAAGTGTCACCTGGCCAGGACCACCTTCTACTTCCAAGTTCCAGTGCATGGCAGCACTCAGCCTCTCTTTCATCTCAGGAGTTCAGTCTGTGCTATGTTGGCCACTTCCACACAACATACACTGTGGTTAGAACAACTACAGGTGACTGGCCTCATATCATGGAGAACATCTTTCAAATTCTTTATGAGGTTCCAGGGTTGAAAAGCCACAGAAGGCTTTCATGGGAAGCACCTTAGGCACTGGACCTTGGCCCAGCCATGTAATGAGAAGGTCAGCATGACTGGGAGGGAGTGAACAAGGGGCAATGGAAAGACATGAGGCCAGAGGTGTAATGGGGAGGCCAGGCCCTGGAGGGCCTGTGAGTCATGGTATGGACTTTGGTTTTTATTCTGAACGAGATGTGGTCTGTTGGAGGATTTGGGCTGAGGTTTGACATGAATGGACTTGTGTTTGTAAAGATCATCTTAGCAGATGTGAGAGAGTAAAGGAAGGGGCAAAGTTGGAAGCAAAGATGCCAGATAGGAGGCTTTTGCAATGGCTCAAGCAAAAGATGATGGTGGCCTGAGCCCGGGGGTGGTGAAGGAGATAGTGAGAAGTGGATAGGTTGTGGAGACAGATATTTTAAAGGTAGAGCAGACAGGATTTGTGGAGGAATTGGCAAAGAATGTGAGGGAAATAGAGGAGGCAAGAAAACACCAAGGGTTTCTGTCTGGTCACCTAGATGACTGGAAGGATCAGGCTTGAGGGGGTGTTCATGAAGTCAGTTTCAGACATGCTAACTATCAAACTGAGATTCAGGAAGCCATGGGTTTTAGTTTCAGTCTGGGCTCTGTTGCTTCAACTTTTTGGGTACAAGTATCCTCAACAACTGATGTGAAATGTACCTTGCATTGTGCACATTCAATGACCTATGAAGCAACATTGGGAGCTGACTGAAAAGCTTTAACATTTGACTGCATTTGCTACTAGCTATAACTGGATGTGGGACAGCTGAGCGACAGAACAGAAATTGTTCACAGTGGTCCAGCAGGGTCAGGACGGGATGTGGGCGTCACCAAAGAGCATAGACTATCCCTACCCCGACTTCCTCCTTCCAAGCTAGCCTCAGCTTCTGAGCTCATAGAGGCATGTCAGTGGAGGGATTCTGTCTTGACTGATGTGTTTCCTTAGGTTTAAATCTAAGTGAGAGGTGCCTAAAATGAGACCAATATGTGCTTACCTTTACCACACTGATTTAAATCAGAGAACTGGTCATCCATGTGTATTTGAGTAGCTGCTGGGTGCAAGGCCTTGTGACCACCTCTGAATTTGATTAGTGTCTGACTTCTTTCAAAAACATTGCAAAATTGCAATTGTCCTTATTTTAAAGACCTTTGAAGGTTGCAACTAAATCATTCTTTGCTAAAGAAACACACTTTTTGAAAGCCTCTCAAAATGCAGTTGAGTGAATACTTGTAGCATTTGATGACATTGAAGTGATACTTTTAAGTTAAATAGTTCTTTAGAAATCTGATGATGGTATTTTAGATATTGACTGTATTCAATATTTGAAGCAAAAATCCAGGTGTTTTTTTCCCCCTCTGAACAGACCTTTGGCAAATACACCTTCAGTTTCTGCCATAATATGACTTATCCAGTGACTGTGACTTCAATTTCAAAGGGTTCCGCTGAATCTCACTATAGAACTGTAGGGTAATATTGGTGCTTTGCCCAGAATCCTCCTGTTCTCACCCTTTTGGTTTTGGCACCTTCCTGTCCAACAACACTTGCACCACCCACCCTCAGGTTCCTTGAGTCTGCCTTGCCTGCAGGCACAGAGAGCCAGTGGGAGTGTCTGGGAATGTTCCCTCAGTCCCTCCTGCAGCTCTTAGCTAATGGCAACAGCTTCAGTAGTATAGAAAAGCCCAGTGCCGTTGCCTCAGTATAGGACAACTCTGAGTGGTAACTTACATTCCAGAGCCCCACTGATTGGGTTAAGAGGAGATTTTGCCTGATTCATACCCTTGCTTGGATTTCTCCTCTTCCCGTTCCTGTTTCTGCCACTCTCTTACTGGTCTCTCCTGAGAGCATGTTTTCAATCATGAATTTGCACACACTAATCTTCATCTCAGGGTCTGCTTCTGGGGAAACTTAATTTAAAAAAACTTTATCCCTGTGTTTCCCAAACTGAGCACCGAAGTGCCCCAAGGCTACAGAGAACTCCCAGGGGGCACTGTGAGCTATTTTCAATTTTCTAAAAAAAAAAACCCAAAACACCCTCAGTGCTCCTCAACATCCATCAGATACAGCATGAACAACTGAAGGCAGTTTGTGATTTCAGTGTTAGGTCATCCTGCCTTCCTTTAGCTGATGGCATATCTTTCAGAAGCTGAGTTTTCAGTGGTTGCTATGATAAAAAAACAAGTACTCTATTATAAAGTCAGGGGGAAGAGAAAACAAGGATGGTGAAGTCCAAACTGATTTCCAGGCTTGGGAAGTTGTTTTGTGTCCACTAATGCACACACTTGCATTAATAAATAAGCGTGGCTATGAAAATAATCTTTTGATGTAATATATTATTTTTTTCAAATGGATACCAATTTGTTATGGCATACATTCTTACCAAGTTGGGCCTACCTAAATTTTGGAACACTTTGCTCTTTCTTTTGATCTTAGGGTACTATGAAATATTACTGAGTGAGTAAGGGTGGTGGCATAAACCAAATAAGTTTGGGGGGCCTCTCCTCCACACTGAAAAAGATGGTTTAAATGTGTTTTGAATTAAAATGGGTGAAGTGTTCAAGTACCAAATAACAGTCCCCAGTGCAAATAAACTAAGTGCTTTGTGTGTTCTTTATACTCCTTCATAGCCTTGTATTTTTATGAATTGTCACACTGGGGTTTTAAACGTGAACATGTTCTCTTGTTTTCTTATTTCAGAGAGTGGGTTAATCGAGCCCCATCTATTCATTTTCTGAGAGTGTTAATCTGTCTGAGGCTACTAATGAGGGATCCATGTTATCAGGTTGGTTGGAAAAAAATATATATATTTTTTACTTGTTATAAAGTTGTAATAAAAGGCTGGTGGGCTTTTCTTTGAAGTAGTCCATGTTTACTTTTTGTTTTCTCTCTCACAACTCAATAGCTTCCATATATGGGGAATGTCTCATCTACTACTTAAAAAGATTTGGGAGGAGCACTTTAATGGGGACAAAAAATTTGTATATTTCTGTTATATTACTTATGGGGTTAAGTGGATTGAACTTTTTGGTCTATGTTGTCTTTGCTACCTGGCATTTTAAAACATTTACCGTTCAAGGAGGTATACGCTTGGCCACAGCTTCAAACATGTTCAAGGCCAAGCAGCTCCCTAGGTCTAAGTCAGCAGTGGTGAGTGGTGCCCTCTCATGTGGCTGAGAAGCAGCTGGTGGAGCTTTATTAGCTGTCCAAGGTCAATCCCTTCCCAACGTCTAGAGTCAGATTTGAGTTAGAGGGGAGCAAGGAGCCTCCCACTTTCCCAGAGGAGGGCGCTGAGGTCAAGAATCTTTTCCTGGTTGGGCGTGGTGCTTCACACATGAACCACCATGCCTGGCCTCTGAGTTTAGTGCCTCTCAGGCTTTAATGTGCATGGGAATCACCTGGACATCTTGTACATGCAGAATCTGATTCAGTAGGTATAAACAAGATTTTTCATTTCCAACAAGTTTCCCAGGGATGCTATTGCTACTAGTTCATGGCCCATACTTTGAGTAGCAAAGACATAGTGCTTTAGCTGTGAGGCTCTAAAGAAAAGCTTACTTAACACTTTTTTTTTTTTAACCAAAAAAGTATCTCCTTTTATGCCCTGTCCTCATAAGCTACTAGGAAGCTCACACCTTTAATTTTGAACTCGATGTTATTGATGAATTATTATTTGAGTCAGCATATGTTTCCTTTAAGTGACAAGTTTGGAAAAGTAACCATCCTCTGTTTTACAGGGAAGCCCAATGCCATCCCGGTGGGAGCTATCTTATTTTCTCTTTGTTGTTTGAAATATTTGCGTTATCCTGTAACTCTACCTTCCTCATATTTCAGAAGTAACCATCTTTTCCATACTCGGCATTTGAGAAAGCATTTTGGTACCAACCAGCCACAGAGCCTACTCTGATTGGACTCTTCTGGGATTCATGGGCACTACACATCTTTCCATTAGAAGAATAGTCCTCTTCCTCATACTGTGTTCTAAACTGGCCTTGTGCTATTGTAATTTAGTTAACCACAGCCCTTTGGATATGTGAGCCAGAGCATTCTTGAAATGGCTTTCTGTCCTTGTTGCTCACAGTTTTCTGGGTAGGTAAGCATCCTTATTTTCCTGTGACCAACCATACAGAGCTGTGTGTTCCACGCATTTCTGAGCTGCTTTTTGCAATTCTGTTTGGGTCATGTATAAATGAGCATGGGTCATACGTTTCCTTTTGCCTGGATCAGTCTTATGTGCTCACTGTTCCCACTTAATTATTCATAGCACCCTCTTTTATTCCCCAATATGTCTCAGTTTAGATGAAAACATTCTATGTATAATATTAATAAAGTTTTCCAGGAGGAAGGTTTGGTTAATCTGAGTTGAACTAGCAAATATTTGTCCTAGAGATGTTCTGTTTGTTCAGAAAAACTGTTGATAAGAGTATCTTACTCTGCTAATCTCCCATCTAAAGTTCTGCCTTTCTTAGTCTCGTTCTGGGTAGATTGAACAGGGTTGATTGTACTGCCCTCTGAAGGAAAAAATTCAGAGACGACTTTGTTTATGAGATTTTGTGACCAAGACACATATTAAACGAATATTGTCCTGCTGGCCAGCTTTTCCATAGAAGGGAATTATCTCCGAGTCTGTCCTCCCTGGCACTCTTTCCATACAGAAGACCATGTGCTCAGGCAGTTGTTCAACATCTTGAGGTGCCAAGAATTGTTGGCTGAAGTCACAAAGCTATGCTGGGGTTTACTATGACTTGTGACTTACGCCAGTGACTGTCGGCATGCCTTTTTCTTGGGTATCTGTTCCTTTCCTCTCTTGTTTGGTCAGTACTGCAGGGTCCATAGCAGCTCTTCCAAACCATCTTCACTTTTCTCACCCAAACCCTCTCCTACCCCATGATTCTCATCAAATTATATCATCCTCTGTTTTACAGGGAAGCCCAAGGCCATCCCAGTGGGAACTATCTCATTTTCTCTTTGTTGTTTGAAATATTTGGGTTATCCTGCAACTCTACTTCCCTCATATTTCAGAAGTAATATTCCTCCTCCTGGCCAAGGCTTACTCTTCTGCCTGTTCTCGCTCTATTTTTCCTTACCATAAAAATGTCCTTCTCTTGACCCAGCTATTCCTTCAAGTCCTTCTCCTACTTTCATACTCTATTTCTTGAAAGGTCAGGCTATGTATCCTGAATCCAGTTCCTTTCCACCAGGACTGATGTATTGCATAACTTGCACATTGAATTCTATGTACAAGGTTCTCTCTGGAAGCCATTTGAATAGACCACACTGGGCCATGCTGCAGTCCTCATTCCTTGACTTAGAGGTTGCAAACTGGTAGCTTGTAGATTGGATCTTTCCTGCCAGTACAGAGTTTCCATTATATGTTTAGTGAATGTTCCAACCAGGAAAGACTGGAAGGAATGACAGAGAAGCCATTTTGAAGATATAATTGTTTAGAGTTTTTCAGAATTAAAGGAAGACACGTACTGAGATTTCAGTTGCAGCTGGAGTCCCAAGCAGGATAAAGATAAGCGTTCACCTGGATTCATTATAGTGAAGCTGTAGTACATCGCTTATCAAAGATAAAGAGAAAACCTTAAAAGATCCCGAACTGCAATTATGTTAGAAACAATAATAAAAAGTAGTTGGATTGAGTAGTCTTCTCTCAGCCCTTACATTCTCCAACCTGTTTATAGCAGCAGGTACACTTTACCACGTTTTCTATTTGCCTGTACTGATCCTGAGAACCTCTAGCTTTTATTCAGCATTTTTTGAGTATTATTTACACGTTCCTCTTCTTCACCTTGTCTTCCTAAATAACCTTCCCCAAAGTTTTTTTTCTTTATTGTCTTCTCCCATATCTTCCAAGCTCTTGGCTTCAACTATCTTTTTGTTGTTGTTGTTTGTTCACAAGTTCATATCTTCAGCCTCAAACTTTCCCCTTTAAGTCCCAAGTTTCCAGAGACACAGAGACACATGTTAGACAACCACCTCGATGACACAGTAGCACAGTGGTTCTCAAAATGTGGCCCGTGTACTGTTTACAGGTCTCTGAAACCCTTTCAGGGGTTCCACAAGATCGAAGCTATCTTCAACATGATGCTAAATTATTCCAAATGATGTTATTTGTCTTTTCACTCTCTGTCTTACATCTGTGCAGTGGAATTTTCCCTAAGCTACACAACATCTCGTGACATCATGGCCCTGGGAGCTGATGGAACATGTGTACTTGTGTATTCTTGTGTTTTAAAAATTTCTCACTTTTAATTTCTAATGCAATAAATATAAACAGATACATTCTAACCCATATAAACCAAAGCTCTTTGAGGTTCTCAGTAATTTTTAAGAGCGTAAAGGGGTTTGAGACCAAAACTTTGAGAACGATTGTCGCATACTATACTCAATAACTTTATAATGGAGCTCTTCAGTTCTTCCCCTCATCCTTGAACTTTTGGAATCAATTCCTCGTTCTTTTAATGGCACCGTATTTTGTCAGACTCAGCATAGAAAACTTTAGAAGTATCTCTTGTATTTCCTTTTTTCTCATCCTCCTACAAATCGAGTATACCAAGCCTTTTAGAAGAGTGTTTACGGTTCCAAACCTAGAAAGATAAGTAAAGGCCAGTCCACAGAGGGGCATTAAAATCATAACCAAAGAATAAACTTTATGGAGCCACTAATGATTTTTGAACAGAGGAGTAAATGGTCATGTCAGTAATTCAGTATTTAAGGTTATGCAGTGTGTTCAGCATTCATTGATTTAGTTGCCACATAGGCCGAGGATGAGAGCACCTAAACGGAAATGACAGTTTGGGCTGTAATAAAAATATATTGGCATAATGTGCTCCATTTTTAAAAACATCCTTTCTACCAGTATTATATTATTGGCTCTATTTTTGTTTTTTAAAAAGGAACAACTCAGGAGGTAAGCTTAGCAAGGACATTGTTCACAGTTTACAGATTGAACTGAAGTTCAGATTAACCAGGGGACTTTCTCCAGGTCAGTAGACTGAGAAATATACAAGCCAGTTTTATGACCCTCTGGCCTGTGACAGGGGAGAGATGCTGAGGGCTAAACAGGCACACAGGGCGCGTTGCTGTAATCTAAGCTTGCAGTCATATTTGCTTTTCAAGTCAGTAACTAGAACTGTTAAGCCCATGTGTATACATACCTGGTAGTCATGGTTTTCTTTAGTTTACACTCTTGAGTTAGTACAGTCCTGTTGGTATAAGGAAAGGAAATGCAAGGAAGACCAGGGTCCGTGAGCAATCTCCTGGCCTTGCTCCACTTTCCATAGGAGCATGGAGGGAAAGTGTTCACTTCATAAATGAAGGTTAAATTCTTGAGTACATAACATAACGACAAAATTCTCTAAGAGGGAGTAAGCGTCTTTCTCATCCCTCTACTTTACAGCAGCACTTCTCAAACTTTATTCCACAGGAGTAATACGTGTCCTGGGAAATGAAGCGTGCTTTGGTTAGGGATGTTTAGAAAAAGCTGCACACTAGTTCTTCTTTTAGAGACTTACAGTGCACAGCAGCTCCAAAGAGTCCTGAGATAGAGAATTTTGTTAAATCTGTTTTGCCTAATTATTTCCCAAACTGATTGAACTATAAAACTCTCTTTTTCTTGCTTTTTTCTCTTTTTCTCCTTTTTTTTTTTTTTTTTTTTTTTGGTAGAATGCCTAATTCCATCCACTGCACAAAGTAAAATGACTGTTTCCAGCACATGGTTTGGGAAACATTGACTTAGTCCCATATCATCAAAATTATTGAATAAATTTCTTATCATGGCAAACATTTAAAAATAACATTACCATGACCATTTAAACATCATATTCTTCCTTGGTGTCTTCCCACTCCCAAGCTTCAAATGAATCTCCTTCATGTGAACAACTCCCAGATTTTGATCTTTTGCCCTCACTTCACTTTCTGTGGCCTGTTGTATTTTTTTTCACCTGGGCCTCCTATCAGCCCTGCAGCACGTCCAAAATAGAGTGCTCTCCTCTATCCCAGTCTATTCCTTTCTCTTTCCCTATGTTAGTTAATTATGACATTGTTCCCAGCCACTCCCACTCAAGTAGACTGATGTCTTCAACTTTGCTTCTTTTCTTCCAATCTTTCTTCATGTTCGATTGATCACATCGCTTCAAATACTACACCTTTCTCTCCATTCTTATTCCTGTTGTCACTGACCCCAACTGAGCTCCCAGTTTATAGCCTCCCCATCTCTAGTTCATTTTATGACTAGAAGGAAGGAAGTCCCTACAGCTAATTCTGGCCAGTCCCTTGCTCACATATTTTCACTGGGTATCATGGTCTACCTGAAAACGTTCAAATTCAGGCACACATCTACATCCTCCCACAGTGGGAATCCACCCTAATTTTCTAACATTTTTTCCCAATAATGCCCTCCATGGAGTTATGGAACTGCTTCTCTCAGAGTTACAGCATGTCTTGATGTTTTGTCTGCACAATTTCTATTCACCTTTGAGCCTCCTGTTCTCTTTGCTGGAATCTCCTTTATTTTCACCTGTTCGCGATCTTTACTCACCAAATCCATCCATCCTTCCAGTCCCCATTTGGAGACCACTAACCACATGAGGTGTCTCTTAGTCCTCTCAGCAGGAAGGAGGTGTCTCTATTCTGACCCCTTATAACTGCGTGTATAATTTACTTTTAACACTTACCTCATTCTGTCTTAAGTTCCAGTTGTTTGTATACCCACCTTATGCTTGCTTACAGCTCAGCAAAGGGCACCCCTGCCATCTACATATTTGTGGCTCCTTCAGAGCCTAACTCAGGGATTTTACGTCGGTGGAATGAAAAAAAAAATGTTTGTTGAATAAATATAACTGGTTTTAAATGTTATTTTAATTTTTATGTGTATGAAACCTCCTACCACAAATAGAGATCATATGAACAATATTCTCGTGCTCTTTAATTATAGCTCTTCTAGAGTGAATAGCATTGATGAGGCTTCAAATTAATAGGTAGTCACAGAATTTTTTTTTTTTTTTTTTTTTTTTTTGAGACGGAGCCTATATCTGTCGTCCAGGCTGGAGTGCAGTGGTGCGATCTCAACTCACTGCAATCTCTGCCTCCCGGGTTCACTCCATTCTCCTGCCGAGTAGCGGGGACTACAGGCGCCTGCCACCACGCCCGGCTAATTTTTTGTGTTTTTGGTAGAGACGGGGTTTCACCGGGTTAGCCAGGATGGTCTCGATCTCCTGATCTCATGATTCACCCGCCTCGGCCTCCCAAAGTGCTGGGATTACAGGCGTGAGCCACCGCGCCCGGCCCACAGAACTATTTTTATTTAAGTTCTAAATGTTCTTTTAAAATTTAATTTAGATGTAAGCATGTTTAGTATTTCCAAGTTCACTTTACACAGACTATGAAAACCTTGACCCAGGAGGCCTTGAGAGAAAAAGGCACCTGTGGCTTTTCGCAGTCTGCCCACCGCTGGCTTCATGGCAGAAGTACACTGTTCTCCCCCACGCTCGTGTACTCGTCCCTGTGCACTTCCCAGAACTGAAATTATGGCTCCTGTTTACGTTTCAAATAACTTCCTTGTGTGCATGTTGTGTAAGAAGAGAGATGTCAATACAGATGTAATGAAGCAGGTTAAAGCCACCTGAGAATATTTGTCTATAGATAAATGACAATGTGGCTAACCTGAGAGCACTTACTATTAGTAGATCTCCAGGCTGGTCCATTTCACAATTTAAAGTCCTGTATCAGGAGACGTTGTCAAACATTATCTCTACATTTCTTTAGAGCATGGGTCTAATAAGATCATTCATCTAATAATTTTGAGAAGCTCTTTCTCTCCTAGAGCAATGCTTCTCAAACTGTACTGTACGTGCGTATGAGCTGGAGATCTCGTTGAAACTGAGTGCGAGCAGGTCTGGGGTGGGTGCAGGATTCTGCATTTCTGTTCAGCTCCCAGGTGCTGCGGGTGCTGCTGGTTCATGGACCACGCTAGGCGGAGACCTAGCGGAGGGTTCTTGGAGTTTGGTGATGCTGTTCTCATCCAGGTTCGCCAGTTATGCAAAATGGTTTTCTTTCTGTGTCTTGGTTTACCTCATCTGTAACATGAGAATATTGAATGAAATGGTGTCTAATGGCTCTTCTGAACTCGAACATTTTAGGATGACACAGGAGGAGGTAAGAAGAATGAGGGGACAGGCTGCGGTTCTGAGCACCGATTCATTCTCTTAATCTTAACCCAACTTTCATATTTATTAGTAGTTTATTTTAAAGGTAGTATGAATGACATACCATACGTTTTCCATATTTATATTAGAATGTAGACCTTCACAAAATAATTTTAAATATGACAACTTAGTAAATAAATTGCAAGTAAGATATACTTCCCCCTCTACCCTCATCATTTACATGTGTTTTGTTGCTTTTATTTTATTAGGAAATCCTCCATGGCTTGGGTGGGATTGAAAACCTAGCTCAGGTAAGATTCCTGTTGTGGTGGCTGGTCTCGCCTTCTCAGTTTGTGCCTGCTCTGAGCAAGAGTTAAAAGGGTGTGTGGCTTTCCTGTGTTGTGCTGTCCGCCCCAGAGAGGGACAGGTGGGGTTAAGTGTGAGTGTGAGGCATGATACTCACAGAGCAGGGAGGAACCCACGACATTTTGTTCTGGCTGACTGGGCTCACTTTGCTCAGCCTGTTGAAATGAGAAGGTGCTATAAAGGGTCACATGTCTTTAGCTAGTAATAATAAGAAATAGGCAGCCGGGTGCGGTGGCTCACGCCTGTAATCCTAGCATTCTGGGAGGCCGAGATGGGTGGATCACCTGAGATCAGGAGTTTGAGACCAGCCTGGCCAACATGGTGAAACCCCATCTCTACTAAAAATATAAAAGTTAGCCAGGCACGGTGGCGGGTGCCTATAATCCCAGCTACTCAGGAGGCTGAGGCAGGAGAAATGCTTGAACCTAGGGGGGCGGAGGTTGCAGTGAGCTGAGGTTGCACCATTGCACTCCAGCCTGGGCAAAAGAATGAAACTCCATCTAACAACAACAACAAAAGGGGCGATGGCTGGAAGGCTCAAGCCTTTAGCATTGTATATACCATATGGTGGGAGGAAAAGAAGTATGTATATATATGTATATATATTTGAGACGGTGTCTTACTGTGTTGCCTAGGCTGATCTCAAAATGCTGGGCCCAAGCAATCCTCCTGCTTCAGCCTCCTGAGTAGCTGGGATTACAGGTGTGTGCCACTGGGCCTGGCAAGATAATAACCTGATTATGAAGATGTTCAAAACTTTTTCACACAAGAAAACGATTACTGTGCTCAATAAAATACTAATAAATCGATGACAAAGAAAGGAAGGATCTTGACCTTATTTATTTTTCTGCTTTGCTACCTACTGGGGGAGGGTAAGCAAGTGAATATATATACTGAGCAACTCAGAGGCTTGCATTTATTAATACAATAAAACAAAATTTCTTTCTTTCTTTTTTTTTTTGAGACAGAGTCTCACTCTGTCACCCAGGCTGGAGTGCAGTGGTGCGATGTCGGCTCACTGCAACCTCTGCCTCCTGTGTTCAAGTGATTCTCGTGCCTCAGCCTCCCAAGTAGCTGAGATTACAGGCATGCTCCACCATGCCCGAATCATTTTTTTTTTTTTTTTTTTTTTGTATTTTTAGTAGAGACAGGGTTACACCATGTTGGCCAGGTTGGAATAAAACAAAATTTCTGATCATGTTTTTGAGTTGGAACAGGCTAGTCTCCTAAAACCTGTATAATGTTTACAGAGAGAATGATTTTCATAATAAACATGTGGCCCTGCAAACTCATTCTGAATAATTAATGGAAGATTACATTTGTGGCAATTTAACATTAAATCTACTTTATTTTATTATATTCTTAGAAAATTGATTCTTTTTTTTTTCAAGAACCTTTTTAAATTGACTAGAGGTTTACCTCATTTAATAACATAATATTTCATAAGATTATATTACAAAGCATCTTCTTATCCATTTTAACTTCTTTTATAATATTAGAAATTACCTGTTTCCCTGAGCCTGTTTCTTATTATAATCAATTATCCACAGTGAGAATTATCAGACTACTCAGTACTCATTTTATTCTGATTATTGCTAACTGCATGTATGCTGGTTAGACATATATTCAGAGATTATAAAATATAATGTCAATAAAATATATACAATGTATTATAAAAAATTCTCCTAAAAAGATACATTGAAGAATAAACATTCTATATACTATATATTATGTATCTTATATGTATCTCGTATTTGGATACTAAATTACACCACAAACTTACCTAGTGAAGAGTCATTTTGAGACTTTGGAGAGTTTATAGAGTCTTGAGATGGTCTTTCCCTCAACTTCATAGCATGCAAGAGAAGTCAAAGAATCTAGAAACCCAGCCACCTTTTGCGCTTGAGTGGTAACAGTCCCAGAAGGAGCATGAGTATTATTTGATGAATCTGTTGTGCCACCTACAGTTTATTTTAAGAACTGCAGCATCTTGTTCCTTGCTTCCTTGCGTGCTTTTGGTGTCCTCCTCACTGGCTTGTTGGTTTGGTCCTTCATGCAGTACATGGAGATTGTAGCCAGTGAGTACCTCAGCTATGGAGAAGAGCAGCACACTGTGGACAAGCTGGTCAACATGACATGTAAGTGTTGTTGTGGGGACACAGCCAGTTTTGTGGACTTGCTAGAAAAGCAGTATGGTGTTTGCAGTAGGAAACAAGGATACTTTAAATATTTATTAATGTTTCCACACACAGCTCAGGTGCTGAGCATCCTGGCCAATTGTTATATTTAGTGGTAACATACAGCCAGAAGGAAGATGTTTAGATTACAACCCTTACCTTGAAAAGCACAATTTATTTAATGCAGGAGAGGCTTCCATAAAAGCAAATTTTGGTAAAACATATTTTTGCCTCTTTTATTTCTGTTAAAATGTCAGAGACTATCCAGTTTTTTTTTTTTTCTATAAAATTGGGTTAATCATGATACCTACCTCATAGAATCTGAAGCATCCAGAGCATGAAAAAAAAAAAAAAAAACAACAAACCTTATCTGATGCTGTGAATGTGAAAACGTTGGGCTGTGAGTGTGAGGTAGTCCTTAGTCACTCAATCTTCTCCCGTTGGAGGCTCTTCCCCGCCCTGCTGTCCTGCACTCCAGCTTTGATGAGCCACAGATGTCCTGCCGTGTGGGAGGCCAGTCCGTTTTCTTTGTGTGAATCGACTGGCTGTCCGTATCTTCCTGTGGGGCAGCACAGTGGTTCTCAGATCTGGGGAGAGAAGAGTTTATGGCAAGCCCTGAGCACCAGGAATTCTCTTTGAGGATGACTGTTTTCCTCAGCTGAGGAAACTAGCAGGTTCCTCTCATTTGCTGGCCTTCCCTCTCTTCTTTATAAGTTGAAATCTTTGCAGAGAGGACCTTTGAAGAACAGGCCTCACTTTGAACTGGTAGTGTTAAGAAACTTGTTCAAATTTAAGTGGAAAGAGAGGTTTGCCTTTTTTGGTATTTTTATATTTCACTATTATAACAACATTACAAAATAAATAACAGTGGAGCTTGAGGAGTAATTCTTGGGGTAAAAAAGTAGCCATGCTGCTCCTGCGTCTGTTGTTCCTTTCGTGCTGTCTGTATTCCCTTTGCCCTTTCTCTGCCTACCGATATGTACTGCAGATCTGTGCTCCCGGGAGTACTCCCCCGTTAATCTCCGCATGCCTCTTTGCGCTCTTTCTTTCCTTTATAGATATCTTTCAAAAACTTGCTGCAGTCAAAGATCAAAGAGAATGGGTCACCACAAGTGGAGCCCACAAGGTGAGTGGCCCCCAAAAGAGTTAATGGTTCAGCTCCCTATGGCAATCATTCACATTTGGGAAGTTCAGAGCCTTTGCAGTTAAGTTATGTGTAATTAGAATCCAGAAACCTGGCAGCCTGGCCTAAAATTGTGAATCTTTGTCAACCCTTGTATATTCTTTGTCAGCATTTCGAGTTAATAGAGATATAATAAATACATGTTTTCTGGAACTCCTTTCCTTTTTTTCTATGCCATGTAATACCAACTAGGTTTATTGCTTAAATATTACTTGAAAATCCCTGGCTATGTATAAACTCACCCTAGGTGTGCGTTTATAAATAAGTCAACAAAAATAAAATTGTGCATATGTATACATATAAATTCCATATGGCATGTGGGGCTATAGTAGTTTGAACCACATGTGATTGCCACTGTAGGTCAAAACAGACTGTATTTATAGCAAAACTGTTTAGATTGTAACCATGTGGAGCCAAGTTTCAGTAACCTGTTGAGTTTCATATCCCAGGAAGCCACTTTCTAGTGTATATGGGAGTAAGATTGCCTAAAATGTGTTAACACATGCCGCTCATGGTCTAGAGGATGATTCTAGGTGATACACAGGTCAGCGTTTTTTGTTTCCGTAGCCATCTATTTCACAGATATTATTGCTTACAATTGGAAAATTGTTTTGAGCTAACATTAAAGGTGTTAATTGAATATGGCAAAAATTGTGAAAGTAATATGTAATGGATTGAAATTTGGGAAACATTAGAAGACAGAGATAAAAGAGAGAAGAAAAAGAGGAAGGGATCAGATGAACAAAGATAATGGTAACTTTATTAAGATAAAATGAAATCATAAAGGCAAAAAATCCATATACTGGAAACATAAAAATTATCTTTGCAGCCGTTGCACAGGTTGCAGCTCTGACCTGTGACATTTTGGGAGGCACTTTTCAGGAGCACTCTGCATTCTGAAAATGTAGAGAATTTTCCAAGTAAGAAAACTTGCCTTCACAAGAATTCAGGGAAAGCCACTGACAAAATACAGACTTCCAGCTAAGTCATATTATTTAGGATGATGCTTGGGAGCATCAATGGTGCACCTTCAACATCAATTAGAAATCTGAGAGACAAATGGAATGCTCGATAGTATTCATATCTTCTTTAGTTTGGCAAAAGAATGAAAATTTCAATATTTTGTTGAAAAATAGTTTTATAATTTGGAAAGTGACTAGCACAGTGCCTAGCTCAAAGTGAGTTCTCAATGGCTGATCACTACCACTGTTGTAATTTATGTCATTAATTGTCCCGGTTCTCCCCAGGGTGGGGTCAGAAGGGGCAGAGAATACTTGGGCACATGGAAATAGAGGGAAGTATGAGAACCAGGCTGGTCATGTAGCTTGATGCCTTTTGCTTCCTGTCCTGGGCAAGGAATGGCTACAAGAGGTTACTCTCAAGAGTTCCAAAGTTAGGAGAGATGGACTCCTGCATCTGTAAAGAACCGGATATTTTGAATGTTTAATAAAACTCTTTTTAAGAATAAACTTTTATATTGACTACAAAAAATAAAAAAAAAACTGCATAAGGCTTGAGAGGCCGTAATATTTTTTCACTATTCTATGGTTAAAGCCATAATAAAATAAACAACTTGATTATATTGACAAAAAGTGTTTATAAAGGTATATTTAATGCCATGAAAAAATTTCGGTAGATGACATTAAGAAAAAAACATAAGAGAGAGCAGCTTTAACATTATATATACAGTTTGTGCTTAATTGTATATGCACATACTTTATAAACTACTAAGCAAACAAAAGAAAACAAAACAAAACAAAAAGGTTAAGCCTGTATAATCTTGAGAGGGAAACATTTTGCCATTCAAGTGGCTGGTAATGGAAAATAAATTAATGTTAATGTTGAAAAAAGAAGCTTGTAGTACTTATATAATTGAACTTTATTTTACTTCATTTTTCAGACATTAGTAAATTTACTTGGTGCCCGAGATACTAATGTTCTATTGGGTTCCCTTCTGGCTCTGGCTAGTTTAGCAGAAAGGTAAGTAGTGTATTCTGCTATACTTTCCAGTTCTGCTACTATAGCAATTTAGGTGGGAAGGATACAAAATAATCAGTTACTTTGTCAACTACTTAATAAAATTTCTTGATACTTAAGTGTGAAATAACATGTTGAAGAGAATCCTGGATAGAAGCATTATTTAAAAATTGAAACTAGAAAGGCAAATCATAGTTTAAAATTTTCTTTTTATTTCCTAACTGGAAATGTTTACTTAGTCTTTTCATCTAACCCTCAGTTACTTCTAATTTCAAAATCACCATAATCTTTCTTTGGCAGCTGAATCTTTTTGACCTTCTTCATTCATTCTTACCTGAGAATTTTAACATACAGAACATTTTAAAACATTTGTGGACTTTGAAAAATTTTCAAGATCTTTCTCCTTATAAATGTCATGATTATTTTAAATGTTTTTATGACAATAAGTGGACCGTTGCTTTTCTGTGAATAATATATGATTCCTTTTGTTTTTTGATCTCTTCTCCCAAGATAATATTGGAGCGAATATAAATATAATAGAAATATGACGAATTTATATGGTTAGCCTTTGTGTCTCCACCCAAATCTCATCTTGGTTTGTAGTCCCTATAATCCCCATAATTCCCTCATGTCAAGGGAGAGACCAGGTGGAGGTAATTGAATCATGGGGCCGTTTCCTCCATGCTGTTCTTGTGATAGTGAGTGAGTTCTCATGAGATCTGATGGTTTTACAGGGGGCTCTTCCCCCTTCGCTCGGCACTTATCTTTCCTGCTGCCTTGTGAAGAAGGTGCCTTGCTTACTCTTTATCTTCCACCATGACTGTTTATGTTCCCTGAGGCCTCCCCAGCCATGCTGAACTGTGAGTCCATTAAACCTCTTTCCTTTATAAATCACCCAGTCTCGGGCAGTTCTTTATACCAGTATGAAAAAGGACTAATACATGGAGGTAGCAAAATATGCTTTTAGTAATTGCTAATATTTTTCAATTTACAGTCCAGAATGTAGGGAGAAGATAAGTGAACTCAACATTGTAGAGAATCTGTTGATGATTTTACATGAATATGACTTGCTTTCTAAAAGGTAGGATTGCTAACAGGAGAAAAAGACAATGCAGTGCCTTTATTTGACAGAAACACTTGTTATTATTTTTATTACATCGTGTTATTTACATTGTAACTGAATATAATGAGTCAGCTTAGCATTTATTTTCTGTTTAAGTTTATATAAAGAGAATAGAGCAAAGAAGTATATCCATTTATCTTTCGTCCTGCATTACTTCTAGATCTGGGCATAGAAGCTGATGAAATAAATTTTTGTGATATCATCTTTAATGTTTTGTTTATTGCATTTATTTATATCCTGCCTTTTTAGGGAAAGAAACTCTGAGGTGGGTCTATTTTTAGTAATTTCAAATTGTGTATTACAATAAATGATTAGATTGCTAAGGTCCATTTGCATTAAGGCAAGTAAAATAAGATAGCAACTGACTTGTTTTGTGATCACCTGCTCTAATAACTCAAAATAAAGTCTAGAGTAAAATGGATTCATTTTTACTTGAACTGCATATTGTTCTAATAACTATCCAGATAGTTATTAGATTGTGCTTAAACAGAGTTGCAATCTACATCATTTGATATTTAGTTGAGCGATTTTCTAAAGAGGCAAAAGAGATAAAAAGAAATCTCAAGCAATGAAGCCCTGACACTTAACTCATAGTAAATCCTTCTGTATTCTTCTTCAAAACTCTTGTAAAAGAGCATTAAATCTAGATAATACTTATAGACTTGGTTATCTGAACAAACCAGGTTCCAAGCTTGGTACCAGGTGTTGAAAACCAAAGATGAATAAGTTATAAATATGTAACGTTGGAGAGGTCAGACAGTGCTATAACTGGTACAGTAGACAGATGCACAGGGGACTCCGGGACCATGGAGCAGAGACTTCCCAATTAGAATGTGGAGTCATGCAAAGTTTCCTGGAGGAAAGAGGAGACATCTAGCCAGAGAGGGAGAGAGACAAAGTAAAAACAGAATGTGCTTGGACATGGAGGCATGAAATTGGGTGTGTTAGAGGAATGTGCTGGTTGGGCACAGCAGAAGCACAAGAACAAAAGTGCCAGAGAACTAGAGCAGATAGTTAATGACAAACTTAAAATGTAGCTAACTTTGATCAGTGTTCTATTTATGCCAAGACCTGCTCTAAGCACCTTGCATATTAACTCATGTGATCTGCACACTAACTCTATTTTTCCCGTATTTTATAGATAAGGCAACAAGACACCTTTATCCAGGTCATGCTGGGCTCTGATAAATAACAATGTGAATTTTATCATGAACATTATGGGCACTCATGGAAAAATTTTAAGCATGATCAGATTTGTTTTTTGAAAGATCACTTTGATAGCAGCGTATGTGGGAGTGAGGTGGGGGGTGTTTGTTTATATCCACACATTGAGATCCACTTACAACAAGGAGAGGATGTTTGGTGTAGAAAGTTTGTGAAGGTAAAGAATACTATTTATCAAGGAACATTTATTATTAATGTCAGAGCACAAAATTTGGGAGGGAGAGGAGCCATAGATAATCAGTTCAGGGGAAAGGAATAAGAAACCAGTATGGGAATGAGAATATTGGAAAGGTAGATGAAAGAAGGGTTTATATCTTGAGCATGACCAAGGATTACAAGGAGGGGAGGAGCAGGGGGGTTAGCTAGCTGCCTGATGTTCAAGAGCATCCCAGAAGTTACCCAGGAAATAGAAAACACTAAGAGCTCTTGACTGACTGTGGAGGAGTGTGAAAAGAGGAATATGTGTCTTGATGCCTCCCAGTCTTGTGGCTTGGAAAACTGAAAATATTGTGGTGCCATGAGTCAAGGTCGGGGATATAAGGTGAAGAATATATTCTGGGGAGGAGGCTAATGACTTTGAGTTTAGGGGTAGTGTGGTGAGTACTTGTGGATCATCCATGTGGCTAAAACTTCTGGAGGTTAGGAGCAATGCCTGGGCTGAGATCATGATGGCAAGGTAGAAGGAGTGTTTGAAATCATGGGAATGGATGACACTATCCAGGATGACAGTGTTTAAGTATGAGACTAGAGGACTAAGGATGATTCTATAAAACATTTATCATCATAATTTTTCATGGCACAGCTGAACCTTGTGTCTTTACCATCAATTTAATGCACTTTACACTGAGTATATAGTAACTGAGTGTTTTGCCCTTAATTCCCCCGCATTGTAGTGTTTTTGGCATTTTCTATGGATGTCTTATTTTGCAATTACATAGTAAGTTTCTGAAGACTAGAATAAGGCTTTTAATTTTTTTTTTTTTTGTCTTTAGCACAATGCAGATCTCATTGTTTGTCCTTGATACTTATTTGCTGGTCAGTAGTTTTTGTTTTTGAAATAGAGTCTCGCTCTGTCACCCAGGCTGGAGTGCAGTCGCAAGTGACCTTGGCGCACTGCAACCTCTGCCTCCTGGGTTCGAGCAATTCTCCTGCCTCAGCCTCCCAAGTGGCTGTGATTACAGGCACACACCACCACGCCCTGCCAGTGCTGGTCAGTAGGTTTTTAACTAGACCAATGATGATGCAACGAGCCTATAATTTAGAACAGTGGTCTGCAACCTATGACCTACAGGCTAAGTTTATTCCACTGCTTATTTTTGTAAATAAAGATTTATTGTAACATAGGGATGCTAATTTATTTTTATATGTTGTCTGTGGCTGCTTTCATGCTATCAGCATAGATGAGTTCTTGTGACAGAGATTGTACGGTTAGTAAAGCTAAAAGTGTTTGATTTTGATCGGGCTCCTAACAGAAAATGCACATTGACCCATGACTTACAAAATGTTAGGGTTATATTTAATGCACTGATGATAGCTTTAGTCTTAATGTAAAGTCATCAACTCATGATGCTGTGATTCTCATCCCCACCCTCCCCACCCCTTTCAGACTAACAGCGGAGCTGCTGCGCCTACTTTGTGCAGAGCCCCAGGTGAAAGAGCAGGTGAAGCTCTACGAGGGGATACCTGTCCTCCTTAGTCTGCTCCACTCTGACCACCTGAAGCTGCTCTGGAGCGTTGTCTGGATTCTGGTACAGGTTTGTGAGGACCCTGAGACCAGCGTGGAAATTCGCATTTGGGGAGGCATCAAACAGCTTCTTCATATTTTACGAGGGTGAGTCAGAGTGGGCTTTGGCCTACTTTGCCCTATTTGTTGAAGTCTGGGGACTCTGTGACGAGATGGCAGATTGGTGTGTGCTCACCTCGTTCCCTTCTGCTTTGGGGTTTCTTTGGTAATTCATGCCTTCTGCAGTCATCTATACTTGTCACAAGCATGTTCTACATCAATGTCAGGGGCTTTCATCTTTTAAACTCCTTGGGGACCCGAATATATTTATCTTTGCATCACCAACCTTCAGTACAGTGCTGGGAATGTCGAAGGCCATCAATCTGCAAATATAGTGAAGGCTGAATGGAAATCCAGTAACCTAAAGAAAACCTTTGTCTTGTCACCTTTTCCTTGAATTAGTATATGCATTTTGTCATTCCAAGTATAATGATTACTAATATTTTCCTAAAATGTTTGTGTGTGCACATATATTATTATCTATAAACAGAAAATAAAGCCTATATGAAAGGAGCAGGTGTATAATCCTTTTTTTTCAAAGATGATATCATTAATCAAGTGGTTGCCATGTTACTAACTCTAGTCCAGTTCTCTACTTTTCTCTCAATGGTCCTCTGAGGTGGGCATCATCTCTCTTTTAAAAGTAGAATTCCAGTGACATTGGAAGTCAGGAGCATAGATAATGGATAGTTTAGTTTCCAATTGAAATTCTCTAGAAGTATGTTGCAATCTAACTTCTGTATTTTCTGAATTAAATATATTGAAGTATTGAATAATAATATCTTGTGGTACCATCCATGGGAAGATTCTATTACCTAATGTTGTTTTAAAGTATAATTCAGTTCTATGGGTGCTGAATCAAAGTTAAAAAAAAATGAGTATGCATATTTGAACTGGATCATGTTTATGATCTGCAGTACATAAATAAAGCTCATTTTAATACAAGCAGAGGGACTTACCAATTTTCATATAACTAGATATTGTCAAATCAATATTGTTATGACTTTGTACTTGTTATGCTTCTAGGGATATTGCAGAACTGTGTGTTACCAACTTCATTTTCTCTGAGGCAACATTCAGAAGCATAAGTACAGACTGTAGAGACATGAACAGTCGCTTTGTTAACAATATCTGTCATTACCTAAACAAAGGAAAAAATTTATAGACTGTTGGCAATCTACTTGCTTTATGAATGTGACATAAAGATATCAATACTTTATAGTATAAATTATAAGTCATTCATTAGTGCTGTGACATAATAAGCCAGCCCCTTGGTCAAAATAATTACAATTGCCAAAGGTTTTTTATTTAGGTTTGTAGGATGACGATGGTAATGATGATCATGGCGGTGGTTATTCTTTATTACTGGACAACCATACCTATTGCAATAGGTGTGGGTTGCCCTCTTGGAGAACAGCTATTTTCTTAAGAATAAAATGAAATTCTATAATAGTTAAGCAGAATTTCAAAGACAAAACCTGCCTTTTTCTCGTATAGAATCGAATCTAGCTTTTCTCTTTTGCTCAAGTCATAACTATCCTTGGTGAAAAAGAGGTCTTTCACATCTGAAGAATCATTTTCCAGTCCATTTTGATGGTGCAATGTTAGCAAACTTTTCCCTGGGATAATGACATATTTTAACTCTTATTCTATGTTAAATATGTGCTGGTGCTCTGGGAGAATTTATTACCCCAGCTGGATAAACAGTTTCCTTTAAGAGCTCGTTCCTGCCCCGGGGCTGACTGCAGCTGGCACTAGGGGTAGAGGTTGCCAGGCTGTCTTGTGGCTTGAGTATGAACACCACTGTTGTCAGGGCAGTTTCCGGGAAACTTTCTCATGCCTGTTCACCTGCCATCCCACACTCAAAGGCAGCTCCCAAAGGGCTCTCTTGTTCAGGTGAAGAGATCCCTACAATTTGAGTTTTAAGATAATAATGTTGACAGATAAGATCGCCACCTGTGATGTCCCTAGGCTCAGCTCCATTACCTTCCCCATGCTCATTACAGGGAGGACACTAGTGGACCCAGATGACATGAGAGGGAAGTCAAGGAAACTCCATCCATGTTACATTTAGGCACGGAGAAATCCAGGTGGAGTTGCTGCTATAAAAAAAAAAATACATGGAAAAAAATGGTAACTATGTAAAACAAAAGACAACAAAGCAGGCAAAAGACAGATGAAGAATCTATTATGGAAGAAAGTGCACAGAGTAAACAGAAAAGCGAATGCTTTATTTCATCAAGGACATTAAGCAGAGCATGAATTTATGAAATGAGATTAAAGATGAAACAAATTTTGGACACAAAAAGGGGAGAAGATTGCAGAGCCAGGAAAGAAAGCAAGGACTGAATAACACCTACAGAACCGACAAATTAGCTAGATCACCAGAAAAAAAATAGAAATAGTAAAATGTAGGGTAAGCTTGGAAAAAATTACATATAATGCAGAAGAAAAAGACCAATGAATAAAAGAAATTAGAAAATGAATGATATGCCCAATAGAAGAAGACAGGTTTTCAACATGTGGATAATTGAGATCCTGGAAGTACAGAGTAAAATGAAAAGGGCCAAACTTTTCCAAGGTATGATAGAAGAGAACTTCCTTAAAATAAAGGAAGATTGAAAGTTCATGGAAAAAGAAAACAGAGAATAATCAAGACTAAGATGTATTCAGATGAATCAACTCCAGGAAAATAGAAAATTCAAAAACAAAGGTGGCCATGTAGAGCAGTGGGGAGAGGACACTTTTCAAGAAATAGTGAGGAATCAGTTCAGTAACCATAAAAAAAAAAGATTCTTACCACACACCATACACAAAAATCAACTCCAGGTGGATTGGAAAGTGAAACAATAATGATGCCTTCATGACCTGAGGGAGGCAAAGATTTCTTAAATGTGACATAGAAAGGACTGACGGTGAAGGGAAATTGATAAATGGTCTGTGCATTAACTTTTCTTTTTCAGAGACAGAAATTTTGTTTCCGATCGCTCCTCCATCGGAAGCCTGTCCAGTGCAAATGCTGCAGGCCGAATTCAGCAGCTTCATTTATCAGAAGACTTGAGCCCTAGGGAAATACAAGAAAATACTTTCTCTCTTCAAGCAGGTATTTATGTTTTATTATTTGATATGCTATAATTTATTATGTTGTATTATTATTCACTATTATAGATTAGTATAATAGTGTTAAGTAGGCACAATTTAGAAGTTTACAAAAATGTGAGGTGAAATCCACGTGGCTGCTGGAAACTTCTTGGTCCCAGTGTTGGACTTGTAGATGAATGATATAACAAATGTTTTCTTTGCCTTCTATGTTCTGAACCCAGAAAAAGATAAACTCAGAAGTCAGAGATAGGGAGACAAAACATTAGCTTTATTATGAGGGAAACTGGATTAGGGGATGCAGCTTGATCTGTGGCCGGAGTCATGCTTTCTAGAATTTTCTAGATCCCAGGGCACCTTACATAAGGGGGAATCTACAGTGCACACACTTGTCTCACCAGGTGCAAGAGAATACCTTCCCCATGCTTCTTGAGCTCCAAAGAGAAGACTGAAAGATGCTGCCCTGTCTAGGATTTTCACATGCAAGCAGGAGCAGCAATGCATCAATGCTTTTTGGCAGGGCCACCTTGAGCAGTCATGCAGTTTGTGTCCTGCCTGGGGGCACCTGGCCTTTGGGACAAGTGGAGATACAGTGCAGTTGGTGCACTGTAGTGCTGAGTGCTGAGTGCTATTGGCCAAGTTGGGTGCCCCAGAGCAGCGCACAGAAAGGGAGCAGAGAGGTGTGGTGTGGGCCAGCAGGAGACAGGGGCACTCTGAGGGGAAAGAGCAGACATTGCGGGAGAGGGAACAAGGGAGTGGGGGAGTGGGAGAAGGCAGGCTTTCCTTGCTGTCTACTATTTTCTCCTGAAGAATACAGAAGATATTTCTTCACAGATGTGTGAAAACAAGGACATAGGATCTCCTCCTCAAAGTGCCATTTCTGCTTACTCTAAAAGGACCCTGTCTCAGTACAAGGTCTTGTGCTGGGGGTTTACTGTTTGAAGGCTCCCCAGAAGTCTAATCCAGTGGAATCTCAGAGCTCTGAGTGTTTCTAGCAATCATTCAAAGAGTGGGTGAGATTGATAGTGATAGAATTCAGAAGAGCAGCTACTTAGATGTGGAATTATAGGGGAGTGAATGCCTGAGAAGGGGCACAAGGAGCCTTTGAGAACTGGAAATATAGCCTACACATTCCTCTGGGTGGAGGATGGTTACAGGGCACACAGATATGTAATATCTCATTGAGCCATACACTTAAGATGTGTTTACATTATGTAGCTTATTCTATACCTGTGTTAGTCCATTTTCACGCTGCTAAAGACATACCCAAGATAGGGCAATTTACAAAAGAAAGACGTTTAATGGACTTACAGTTCTGCATGGTTGGGGAGGCCTCAGAATCATGGTGGAAGGCAAGGAGAAGCAAGTCACATCTTACATGGATGATGGCAGGCAAGAGAGAGCTTGTGCAGGGAAACTAAGTGCACTTTCATGGTTTTACAAAAAAAAATTTTTAAAAACCATCAGATCTCAAGCGAGACTCATTCACTATCAGGAGAACAGCACAGGAAAGACCCGCCTCCATAATTCAGTCACCCCCCACTGAGTTCCTCCCATGACATGTGAGAGTTGTGGGAGTTACAATTCAAGATTGAGATTTGGGTGGGGACACAGTCAAACTATATCATTTTGCTCTTGGCCCCTCCCAAATCGTATGTCCTTACATTTCAAAACCAGTCATACCTTCACAATAGTCCCCCAAAGTCTTAACTCATTTCAGCATTAACTCAGAAGTCCACAGTCCAACACCTGAGACAAGGCAAGTCCCTTGCCTGTGAGCCTGTAAAATCAAAAGCAAGTCAGTTACTTCCTAGATACAATGGGGTACAGGCATTGGATAAATACAGCTGTTCCAAATGGGAGAAACCGGCCAAAACAAAGGGGCTACAGTCCCCATGCAAGTCCAAAATCCAGCAGGGCAGTCAAATCTTAAAGCTCCAAAATGATCTCCTTTGACTCCATGTCTTGCATCTGGGTCACACTGATGCTATAAATGGATTCCCATGATCTTGGGCAGCTCTACCCTGTGGCTATGCGAGGTACAGCTTCCCTCTTGGCTGTTTTCACGGGTTGATGTTGAGTGTGTTTGGCTTTTCCAGGCACACAGTGCACACTGTCAGTGAATCTACCATTCCAGGGTCTGGAGGACAGTGGCCTGCTTCTTACAGCTCCACTAGGCAGTGCCCCAGCAGGGACTCTGTGTGGGGACTCTGACCCCACATTTCCCTTCTGAATTGCTGTAGCAGATGTTCTCCATGAGAACTCCGCCCCTTCAGCAAACTTCTGGGCATCCAGGCACTTCCATACATCCTCTGAAATCTAGGCAGAAGTTCCCAAACCTCAATTCTTGACTTTTGTGTACATGCAGGCTCAACACCACATGGAAGCTGCCAAGGCTTGGGACTTCCACCCTCTGAAGCAACAGCCTGAGCTGTACCCTGGCCCCTTTTAGTCATGACTGAAATGGCTGGGATGCAGGGCACCAAGTCCCTAGACTGTACACAGCAGAGGGACCCTGGGTCCAGTCCATGAAACCAATTTTTCCTCCTAAACCTTCAGGCCTGTGATGGGAGGGACTGCCGTAAAGGTCTCTGACATGCCCTGAATAACTTTTCCCCATTATTTTGGGGATTACCATTTGGCTCATAACTTATGCAAATTTCTGCAGCTGGCTTGAATTTCTCTTCAGAAAATGGGATTTTCTTTTCTATTGCATTGTCAGACTGCACATTTTCCAAACTTTTATGCTGTATTCCTCTTCTAAAATTCAATGCCTTTAACACATTCAAGTCACCTCTTGAATGCTTTGTTGCTTAGAAATTTCTTCTGCCAGATACCCTAAACTATTTCTCTCAAGTTCAAAGTTCCATCAGATCTCTAGGGCAGGGGCAAAATGCCACCAGTCTCTTTGCTAAAACATAACAAGAGTCACCATTGCTCCAGTTACCAACAATTTGCTCATCTCCATCTGAGACCACCTCAGCCTGGATTTTGTTGTCCGTATCATTATCAGCATTTGGTCAAAGCCATTCAACAAGTCTCTAGGGAGTTCCAAACTTTCCCACATTTTCCTGTCATTTTGTGAGCCCTCCAAATTGTTCCAATCTCTGCCTGTTACCCAGTTCCAAAGTCGCTTTCAAATTTTCTGTTATCTTTTCAGCAAAGCCCCACTCTACTGGTACCAATTTACTGTATTAGTCTATTTTCATGCTGGGAAATTTCCAAAAGAAAGAGGTTTAATGGACTTACAGTTCCCACATGGCTGGGGAGGCCTCACAATCATGGCGGAAGACAAGGAGGAGCAAATCTCATCTTAAGTGGATGGCAGCAGGCAAAGAGAGGGCTTGTGCAGGGAAACTCCCATTTTTAAAACCATCAAATCTTGTGAGACTCATTCACTGTCACGAGAACAGTGCAGGAAAGACCCACCCCCATAATTCAATCACTTCACACCAGGTTCCTCCCATGACACGTGGGAATTGTGAGAACTACAATTCATGATGAGATTTGGGTGGGGACACAGCCAAACCATGTGAATACCTAAATAAAAATGGAAAATAAAAATTAAAAATATAAAGGATTAAGAGTAGGGTTTGAGTTTTGACTCAACCTTCATTGATGGCTATATGGCCTTGGGCAAGTTCCTTAACTTCTCCAAGCTTCAGTTTTGCTTATGTAAAATGGTGATGATAATCATGATATCAGTGATAGAAGATTATTGTGAGAATTCTATGGGAATATATGTAAAATCTTAGGACACTAAAATGGAATTATCCTTTATAGGAGTTCTGTGCTATAGAGTCTGGCATACTTCTGAGAGCACAAGTATTTCAGTGCAAAATGCCACCAAAGGCTGCCACAGTGGCTGTCAGGAGGCAAGAGTGGTGCTGTTTAGGGCTGGGGATTTAACGTCTGGCAGACTGGGGCTGCACTCCTGATCATTTCCACTTACTGGTTTTGTGGCCTAGTCTAGTAATTCTTTGAAACTGTTTTCTCACCACTAACACTGGTAATCATAGTGCATACTCTTATTATAAGGATTGAATTGGATAATATATTTAAAGCATTCTTTTATTTATCAACCATTATAGATATATTTGTTGAGCACCTGCTGAGTGCCAGGGCATGTGTTGGGCACTGGGGATTGCAATGAAATGGACAGATGCAGTACTTGCCTCCTGGTACACAGTAAGTTCTCAATAAATGGCTGCTGTGGAATAGATGTGCACAGGAAATACATAGAGAGGAGAATTAGAAGCCATTACAAGTCAACTTCTCTTCTTCCAGAGCTGTGCCAGAAGGAAAATTAGTGTTTCTTGAGGAGTTACTTTGCTAACAAGCATAGCAAAATAATAAAAATACCCTGTGGAGCAAGAGAATTCATGTGAAAGTGTATTTATTGTAATAATGCACACTATGCATTTGATTGTTTTCATTCCAGCCTGCTGTGCTGCCCTCACTGAGCTGGTGCTCAGTGACACCAATGCCCACCAGGTGGTTCAGGTGAGAGCACTCCTTCTCAAGGTCAGGTCTCCGTAACCATTCATAATCAACTCACCTTGTGGTGCAGTCTGTGTCCCAGAGCATAGGTTTTGGGATCCCATCATGTGATTTAAAAACTATTTTAACATTTCTCATTTCACTAATAGAGTTCCACTTCATATTTTGTCCTTCCTCCTTTAACTCACTTGACTTAAAAAGGACCGACATGTGGTTAATTGATGTTTCTTCATTATGTTATGTGCAGTACTTTTTATTTTATCTTTCTAAAAGGGATACTCTGAACTGCTTTAATTCTGGGCATATAGAATACCATAAGGTAAGGACAGCGGTCATTTTGATTAAGACTATGCATCAGATGATTAAGTTAGAGATGATGATTGAGACACAGCAAACAAAATATTTATTGCCAAGAAACTGACTTTGCAAAGTATCATCCACTAATTAATCTACTGTATGTACAGCTATATATACATGTTTGTGTATGTATATATACACATAAATATAAATTAATATATCTATATAAATAAATACACACGTATATGTACAACCCTTGTATGGGCTTCTATTGCAAAAGTTACCTCCTACTTAGTGAATTTTACAGAGAAAACCTTTTGATTGTGTCAATACGATATCCAACTTCAAAATACATACATGTTAGTAAGGGATCAGCCATCAATGATTAAATTAGGACATAAGAGAAACTCAGCAGATCAGCGGGTAGTTGATAAAGCAGGGCATTTGGAGTTGGCCAGACTGGGGTTTAATTCCTGGAATTATTATTTCTTGGCTTGGCTTCTAAAAAAATAATGTATCTGCTGTAAGTATTGGTTTTCTCATGTATAAAACAAGGAAATTATAGACTAATTTCACAGAGTTGTTACAGAGATTAGATGCGATAAGGCAAATAAGGCTCTTTGCAGTTATAATATGAATGCCTGCATACCGTAAAGATTAGTACGTTATATATTTACTAGATAATAGAAAAGTGACTGTAAGGTATTATTTGTTCATTCCTTCATGTGTATATTTCAATTAAAAAATCTAGAAAGATGTCAAGATTATAATAAAGACATAAATTAATAACTGAAATATAATGTCTCCCTTTATGGTTGTGGTAATTAAGGATATAAATAATTATTAAAGATATAATTCTAAGATACTGGGACACCTTTACTCTGTCCCTTTTTAATCTCTCATTCTTTGTTTTTAAGGTATTTGAATCACTTTATGTTTACATACTTTATAATAATCTTGACTCTCCACAGACAGTTGAAATTTTAAGATGTAGTTGCACTCTTTGGTGTTTAAAAGTGTTATATTGACATTTTAAATATTGTCCTGTAATGTTTACTTCAACGTCCAAAGTTATACTAACGTTTCTTCTTTGCTATTAATTTTTGAGATTGTTGATTTGCCTCTTTATGCTTGTGTATCACTACAGTGTTGTCACTCATAGTATGACCCCTTTATTCTTTCAGGAAAATGGTGTATATACAATAGCAAAATTAATTTTACCAAATAAGCAAAAGAATGCAGCAAAAACTAATCTATTACAGGTAATAAACATGTCTGTTGTCCTGCAATATCAAGTTATTGAAACCTGGGGTAACTTTGGTAAAATGATCTATGATTTTTAGAATGTTTAGGTTAGTACTGGTCCCCGTACTGACTATGGGGGAAAAATACCTGGCGAGGAAGACTGGCATGGCATGGCATCAAATAATATTACAACAATGCAGAAGGCTCAACAGTGGTTTCTCTGTGTGGGAGAATTAGGTGATTTATTTAGGTGTTTCTTTGCTTATCAATAAGTTCTATTTTTTTTAAAAAAAATTCATTCCTTATGTATCAGAATATAACAACAGGGGAAAATTATTTGCCATCACGGATCTTGACGGATGAGAAGGGACTTGCCAAGTGGATAAGGGGATATTGGGTGGGGCACCAGTGGCATCTGCTGCAGGATGGAAGGGCATTCTATGCAGAGGGAACAGCGCGCACCAAGTGTGAAAGCTGTGAGCTTAGAATGTGCTGAGGGAAGGGTGAGCTGCTCAGTGGGGCTGGGGCGTGTGGTTGCGGGAGGTAGTGCTCCAGGAGATGAGGCCTCACATGTAAGAAAGGGGAGCAGTTATGCAGGTTCTAAGCTCATTTTTGAGGAGTGGGTATTAGGGGAGCTGAGGGGAGGGTGAGCTGCTCAGTGGAACTGGGGCATGTGGTTTGGGAAGGCAGTGCTCCAGGAGATGAGGCCTCACATGTAAGAAAGGGGAACAGTTACACAGGGTTGTATGTTCATTTTTGAGGAGTGGGTATTGGCAGAGTGGGGGCGGGGGGCAGTGTCCCTAATGTCAAAATCTGATTTAAAGTTAGTCTTTGCAATACTTGTAGCTCATCTTTTCTTTTTCCCCCAAGTCATTTTGAAAAGGAAGAAAGAAACAACCTTTGTCTCCAATCTGATTTAAGAGTTATCCAAAATGATGGCCAAAGCCAGCAGACTCTTTGGGGATGTCTCTGTGCTGGCGAGCAGGGGTTTTTGGAGAGCTGCCAATGGGAAGGTGCAGGCATGGGACGATTTCTTCAGTGCATCACAGATGTATGACACTGTGCTGGTAAACAGATGAAGACAAACCCATCCTGCAGATACATTTTGTGAAGCCAGTAGAGGGTTTTTTAGAATTCCAGATGAAGGACTTTTGAGGAGTACGCATGCTCTCCCTTTCTCACAGTCTCCACTGCTCTCGCCTGGCTCTTTCATGTCATTTTGTTGCCGGCCCCACCTCTCTGGGCAATTTGTTTGGGACACTTCTGTATTCAGATCACTGATTTTAGGAATTGATCTCAGATTTGATTCAGCAGACCCTGATCACTCCAATGGTGGCCTATTGCACAGGCACAGCTGCAGGCTGGGCACACTTTTTTTTCTCAGTACTGCAAAATGTCAGATGTTTATTTTTCCTAGCTAAAGCCTCACAGGCCTCTTTCTGAGCGTTCTAGGGAGTTACTGTAGATTGTTCTATTTGGGGAATGCTTAAGACTCTTTACTCAGGAGACCAATTTGTCAAGTTTGAGTCCAGTGTGCCTGTGACTATTTTTATATGTCATCATTTCTAGTGTTTATTTTCTCACAGAAACCATATAAATATTGAGGTATACATAGCAGGCTAGAAACAAAATAAACCTTGAGCTCCTGGAAATCTTCAGACGTTTGGTTTTCTCAGCATTGGAATTTTATTTCTTGTCTCTGTACTCATTTTGTACTTTCTAGAAAGAAATGAATGACGAGTACCGAGTGAAGCAAGGCCAGTATTCCCAGCGTTCTACAACATAAACACTTTGTAAATACGGGAATGACCCCAGGTGCTGGTGTTTTTTTGTTTTCACTTATAAGCTTTGGCTCCAACCTGGACCAGCCACTTACAATAAAGTCACGTTAATGTTTACTTCCTGTTAATTCTTTCCTGAAAATGTTTTCATTTGCTGAGCTACCATTTAAGAATCACATATCCTTTTGTTTTCTAGTGTTATGCTTTCAGAGCCTTGAGATTTCTCTTCAGCATGGAAAGAAACAGACCACTCTTTAAAAGGTATGAGGTTAGAGAAATATAAGTGATCATTCAATTTAGGAGCTCATTAGATTGAACTGTTTTCACATACTTGGCTTAGATGCAACAGTAGGAAAATAACGCATCAGTATGCAAACCATGTGTCTTCAGATTTCTTATTTCACAGATATAAGTGAACTATTGTAGTGATTCAGTATCCAGCCACACTGAATATTAACAGAATGATGATGAAAGAGCATAAATCGCCGTATCAATACAACTCCCCTTAATTACATGCGACTGCTCTAATTTTAGTTTTCTTTTTGATAATTAAAGATATTGACATTTTTAAAAGATGGTATTAAAATATGAGCTTTTTTTTTTTCCAGCTAGAAATTTGAAAATCGATCTGGGAATTTCCCTTTAGTCAAAGGGAATTTAATCAAAGGGAAAACAAACTATTTTTCTGTGTGTCTTTGATAGTGTAGGAGCTCATTTGAAGGGGAGGCTGGACGTTCTGGCATCAAGATACTGCGTTGGTGAGCCTGAAAGGTCACCATTTTGTGAAGCAAACACTGGTTCCCTCAGTGGTGTTCTGTACACCATTTAGTTGGGTGGGTTAGCCAAAATCATAGGCCCAAGTTTTCACTAACATCTTGTTACGAAGGCAGAATAGGCATAAAATATTGAGTTAATATAGTGTTTTTTTGTTCAGAAAGCATGGAGCATCACTTTTTGGCCTTTTGGCTGACATCAAGTACAGAAAGCATGGAGCATTTTATGTTGTTACTTTATTTTTATATCATGCTTGGATTTAGAGGAAAATGAAGTAAAATTAGTTCTTTTTTTTTTTTTTTTTGACAAAGTCTCATTCTGTTGCTTCTCTTGCCTCAGCCTCCTGAGTACCTGGGACTACAGGCATGCACCACCACACCTGGCTAATTTTTGTATTTTCAGTAGAGGCGGGTTTTCACCATGTTGGCCAGGCTGGTCTTGAACTCCTGACCTCAGATGATCCACCCACCTCGGCCACCCAAAGCATTGGGATTACAGGCATGAGCCATTGCACCCAGCTGCTTATTCTTTATGCTCTTTCATTTCAAAGCTCTAAACCATCCCTTTTAGTGAACTCAAATATTTTAAAAGCCCTTGAAACCAGTGTCTTGGGAATGATGAATGAATCTCCTTATTTGTTTTATTTTTCATACCAGTATTTTTATTTTCATGGAACTTTAATTTAAAAGTTGGATTAGTATTTACTTCTTACTAAAATCTGAGTCAAATGACATTCATGAAAGTGCTCCACACCCCCCCCAAAAACACCCAATAAATGTTTCCTTCTAATATATTCAATACCTATACCCCCAAATATCTTACAAATAAGATTTTTGTATAATCTGTATCATATCTAATTTTAAATTATGGTAAAAATATTAACATGCCATCTACCTTCTTAAAATTTTAAGTGTACAGTGTTGTTAACTGTAAGCACAAGGTTGTACAGCAGATCTCTAGAACTTCTCCATTTATTTTTTTCTTACCCCACGAAAACTGTAAATAGTGTATTTTTTTAAGGTAAGTTGGGGAATATTGTTTCCCCAACTTTGTTGATAACCAAAAGAAGTTAAATTTGTTTCGTGTAATTAATCAGTGAGCGAGCTGCATTCAAAAGGGAAGTAATGGGCCGGGCATGGTGGCTCACGCCTGTAATCCCAGCAGGGGATTGGGAGGCCAAGACGGGCGGATCACGAGGTCAGCAGATCGAGACCATCCTGGCTAACATGGTGAAAACCTGTCTTTACTAAATACAAAAAATTAGCCAGGCGAGGTGGCGGGCGCCTGTAGTCCCAGCTACCTGGGAGGCTGAGGCGGGAGAATGGCGTGAACCTGGGAGGCGGAGCTTGCAGTGAGCTGAGATCACGCCACTGCACTCCAGCCTGGGCGACAGAGCAAAATTCCATCTTAAAAAAAAAAAAAAAAAAAGGGAAGTAATGATCAACAGTGTCCAAGTCCTACGATAAGTGTGCGTAATTTTCTCTGTAGACTTTTCCCCACAGACTTGTTTGAGATCTTCATTGACATAGGACATTATGTACGTGATATCAGTGCTTATGAAGAATTGGTATCCAAGTTGAATTTATTAGTGGTAAGTCCTGAGTTTTCAATATTTTGGCAGGCTGCTATGTAGTCAGGATGGAATTTATCACAGAAACCCATTTCCTTTTTATATTTTGATTAGGAGGATGAACTGAAGCAAATTGCTGAAAATATTGAAAGCATTAATCAGAACAAAGCTCCTTCGAAATATATAGGCAACTATGCGATTTTGGATCATCTTGGAAGTGGAGCTTTTGGCTGTGTTTACAAGGTGACTTTCCCCTTGGGGAACATTTCTGATACTCCCAACCAAACAGGATGTCACCCTTGCACACTGATATTCAATTGAATTGGAACTCTTGTCATTGAAAAATAGCAAACAAATAGATATGAAAATTAGAATGATTGTTTTTGTCAAACAGAGATAGCCACACGAATATTGTTTTAGCTGTAAGCTCTAGAAATCGGCCACTGACTTTTTAAGACAAAAGGCATCATTAATCTGTCACAAAAATATTCAAAAAAGCTTCTTCCAATGCATGATGCAATCTCTAAATTGTAAAATGCTACTAAATATTGCAGATCGACCCAGGGGATACCAGTGTTTTGAGCTGAGCTTAATGTAAATACAGCTGGAACTTTAAATGCTCTGTGGCTTATTTATATGACTTAGTTACTCATGTGATTTTGTTAGTCTATCTCTTTCTTCCCCTTTCTACCTTCTCCTTCTTTACCCTGTTCCTTTTTTGTTGTTGTTGTTGTTCTTTATTTTAGGTTAGAAAGCGTAGTGGTCAAAATCTTTTAGCAATGAAAGAGGTCAATTTACATAACCCAGCATTTGGAAAGGATAAGAAAGATCGAGACAGCAGCGTAAGGAATATTGTTTCTGAATTAACAATAGTTAAAGAGCAGGTAAATGTTTTTCTTGTTTCTGAAGATGTTTTTCTTAAATACATGTCATTGCAAGAAAGTAGAGTTGTGGTGCTCTTGTCCATGATGCTTATGAACTAGTTCCATATGAAATAATTGACATTGAAGCAGTGATATTTTTGCCAGCTTTTTCCCTAAAGCTTGACACTGAAGCATAAAACACTGTCTGGAGTTTATATCAGGGTCATGGATGCAAAACAATTGGATTTACAGTACAGAATGCATCATATATGAGAAATCCTTTTCTTTTCATTGTGAGCATATCTATTATTTTCTCATTATATTTTAGGATATTTGGTTACTTAGTTACATACATAGAAATATGACTGTTTCTTGACTTTTGCCAAATGGGACCAAGCTGTTAACATTCCTCAAATATGGCTTATAAAATCTAGAGTGTAGATTTTCAAGATGGGTTATTATTTATTGGCATGAGCAGAACACTCTGACATAATGTAACAGCTCAATTAACTCTCATTATGAAAGTTTGTTTGAGGAGGAAGAATAAACATTTCAAAGAGAAATGGGATTTCTTTGTGTGATCCAAGAACACATTGGTTTCTTTCTCAGCCTTCCGTGTTTGCACATTCATTATGAATACTGTTCATTTATAATTCCTGTGGTGCACTGTCAGCTTTGCTGCTTTCGTCCTCCACTAGTCACATTTGCATAGCATTTGTGTTGGGATGTAACAAATTCCATGAACATGGAGACCTTTATTCATAGAAATCGATAGTTCTACTCCAGTAAATATTATCATTAATTGTTTATTTTATAGTTGATTTTATTACTAATAGACCAGACTTTAAAAAGTTTGTTCATGTGTAGTTTGTTCATGTGTTTGTGTGGTCATCTAGCCTTCCACAGTGTGCTCTTTCATTGTAGCAAAAGGCTAGAACAGGGCTTTTTGACTAAGCCAGTCCAGTGTTTTCATCTGGACCCAAATATGGTTTTAGTCCTTATGGGTGAGCCAGGTCCAGAATATGGTTCTGGTTGGTTACCTGGTCACATATTGTTTAAGATCTGCTGGCCGCTTGCTAGTTGATGAAGTAGATTATTTGTTTTAGTATGTTTCCTAAGAAAAGAAACTGTTAGACTAGGGTTAGATAGGAGGCCTATGCTTGGGCTTTTAGGTGACTCAAACTTGCTCTCTCACTAGAGGATCAAACTGATGGAAAGGATGATAACATTGAGTCCTTAAAGGAGGAGGTAGTGGCAGGCAGAAGCAAAACAAATGGGGCTAGAATGGGAGAGTAAATTAAGATTAACAAAGAGGATCCCAAATGCAGGTGCTTAAAAAGAGGACTCACAGTACAGTGGGTTATTTCCCTTTCACGGAACAATCCCAAAGTGAGTAAACCATGTTGGAGGTGTTCTCTGCTCCATGCGATCATTTGGGGATGCAGGCTTTTTTCTCTCTTCTTGTGCTGTTACCTCCTAGTGCATTGTCTTCATCTGTGTGGTTGAAACTGCCATAGCCATGCTCACATCCAAGGTGGGATGAGGAGGAGCATGGAGGGCTATTCCCAAGGTTTAGAGTTCACACAGGAAGCACACATGCTTCCTCTCATATTCCACAGGTCAGAGCTAAGTGGTAACCTCACCCCCAGCTTCAAGGGAGGCTGAGAAGTCTTCTCTAACTGGGAAGCCATGTCCAGCTACAACTGCACTGCAATGACACAGCAGGTTTTTGGTGGACAGCTAGCAATCTTCCTGCAAAAAGACTTGCAGAAAGACCAAAAAGAGATGCAAGCAAGCCATTTGTTGATGTGATGGTGACTGTTCTAAGATAAATTTTATCTAGAAACTCAAATTATAAGCAAAAACTACAAAAATATTAGCATTCTTCTAGAAAATGCTTTTTTAAATTAAAACATGAGAAATTCCACTAACATTCTTAACTTATATCAAAGAGAAATTTCACCAGACACTTTAAAAATGGTGAGGAAGACGTTATTCAATACTATGGCAATAGAAGTCAAACTGTTGTAATAGAGGAGAGAGATTGAACCCAACTCTGAATTCGAGGACCGGACAGCTGAGGACTCAGAGCCAATGGTCAGGGTGAAGGGGGTCAGTGGACGGAAGTTTACTAAGAGGGACTTGGTTAGATATCAAGGGTGAGTGAATGGGAAACTTAATTGGAGATCAAGGGTGGGAGATTTTTCCATAAACTGACTTAGCAGGATATAAGTTGCTAAAACTGACAGACCAAGGATGAGGCCTAGTCATGAAGAGGACTCAGAGGAGTCTGACTAAAGCTTGGTTAAGTAGGAAGTCCTTGTCAACTGTTACTATGATTTAAAATGAGTTAACTCTTAGATTATGTCATTTTGCTACTAATCATTTTGGAGAGCATAGAAAGACAGAAATAGTGTAAATAGACACAAACTTTACATAAATATTTATATGGTAGAGAGAGGTAAAGAACAATGAATATTTGTAGTCAACAGAAGTTACCTCATTTCACTTTTCTCCTTTATACAGTCTGTGTGTGGGGTTGTGACAAGGCATGCTAAAGGAATTCTTAAGATTCCTTCTACCTCTATAGTTCTCTTGGTTAAGTTAGGTAGTAAAGTTAGGTGATAGAACGTTTTAAATTTTATTTAATAAAGCTATATAGGATTACTATTTTCAGATCAGTTTATAAGCAACAAGTTTTTAAAAATCACAACAATCTCAGTTCAATGATATCTTGAAGTGCTAGCTTTGTAAATAAGTATAATTTCTTTGTAGTTTTCAAATATGAAGTCCAACTAAGTAGTCAGTGAAAAAACTTGTATTTTGAAGCAGTGCAATACATGTTTGTTATTTATTTTCTTATAGCTTTATCATCCTAACGTTGTACGTTATTACAAAACATTTCTGGAAAGTAAGTATGAGTTTTCATGATATTTCTAAATAAGGAAACATTTTTGTCACATATATTTTTATATTAGAATGTCGCAAAAGAAACCTTATCAACTATTTTATTGACCTTTTTTTGTTAATATGACAGTAGATGATCTTAAGCATCACTTTCTTGACTAGCGAAACAGTGACCTAGTCAGTGACCTGAAGATAGTTACAAAATACTTAGCTCCCCATGTGAAAAACACATGAACAAATGAAAATAGTTATTGCTGTTCTCATATACAAAAAAATCACTTAATAGGATCAAGAAAAAAGAAAACTAATGGATGGTGGTTTCCTTAAGAAAAGAAAAGAAAAGGAAGTTGCTTTTGTTGACTCCGGTGTCATTTTCCATCCCCAAAATAAGTTGGAGAGAGCTAGGTCTTTGAGATTTCTTTTACCTGAAGTTCAGGTAAATGCCACAAGGTGGCGATGGAACCCAGACTGATTCTGCAGGTAGGCAGGCTTGCTTTCTGCAGGTATGATGGAATGCTGAACTAGAACCAAAACACAGATAAAGCTAAACTCAGCCACTTTTTTTGTTTGTTTGTTTTAAATAGGACCCGTGACAGAAATGATACAAGTATTGATAAGCTTTAATGATATGTGTCACGTATGAAATGTCAAAATAAATCTCCACTTGAAGAATGATTTAAAGAGATACAAGGCAATGACTGGGGCTTCCGAACTACCTCTTTATCAGTGCTATTGCTATTTAAGAAAACCTTTTGTGTGTGTACATTGGCATTTGGGACAACCGGGAAATGGGAGATTTTACCCATCTCCCTTCCCCTACATGACTCAGAAAAACTCAGTGCTAAAACTTGTGCAGTAAATCCTGTCCCCTTAGCCATTTGTTCTTGATGTTAAAATAATTTTCTATAATTTAGTGCATATCCCTTCAAAAAAGGTTGGCTTCTGACTTGTACTGAAGTGACGTAACTTGTCTTAATATAAAAAACAAAAACGTTTTTTACTACCTGACAGCTTCCAAAAAGAACTGGAAATGGCGGCCGGGCACAGTGGCTCACGCCTATAATCCTAGCACTTTGGGAGGCTGAAGCGGGTGAATCACTTGAGGTCAGGGGTTTGAAACCAGCCTGGCCAATACGGTGAAACCCCGTCTCTACTAAAAATACAAAAAAAAAAAAAAACAAAGGCTGGGCGTGGTGGTAAGCGCCTGTAATCCCAGCTACTTGGAAGGCCGAGGCAGGAGAACTGCTTGAACCCGGGAGGCAGAGGTTGCATTGGGCCAGATCACGCCACTGCACTTCAGCTTTGCAACAGAGCAAGACTCCGCCTCAAAAAGAAAAAAAAAATAAAATAAAATAAAAAAGAAGAATTGGAAATGGCTTAAAAATATATAAAATATGATATAATAGATTAGGAAATTGCAATAAAGAGGAATGAAGGATGAGAAAATTAAAAATAAAGCTAGAGGTAGTATTGGTACATAAATGAATATTTCTTGAAATTATGAAAAATTGGAAACAATATAAATGTCTATCTGTAGGAGAATGATTAAATAAGTTATGGTATCCCCGTATTGTGCAATACCATACAACCAGCAGAAAGAATGGTATGGATCTGTGTGCACTGAAATATAAGGCTGCTTAATGAAAAAAAGCATAAATTGCAGAACATGTATGATTCCATTTTTGTGAACATTTTCTACACACATATTTTGTATACATGCCAAAGTTTCAAAAGACACATATCACATCCCATTGTTAGTAAACCCTATTGGTTTTAGAGGAGGAAGTAGAATTTATTCCTTTGTTTCTTGGCATCCAGAGCAAAAAGACAAATACAGTCAGTCATGAAGTTCTCCGTATCCATAAGATAAAACCTGGAGAAGTCCATTTTTTTTTTGCTTTTGAAAGGCATAACAGAAATTCCTATCATGTGTATTATTTTCAACTGTGTCATTGCAAGACCATGGCATTATTCCGGTGTAAAATTCTGTAAGGTAAATCTTTCAGACTATGAACCAATACTGTTGAAAATGTAATTTTCTGAATGTCTTGCCTTGATCTGAGAGTAAATTTTAGGCTGTTGGGAGGAAGGATGGGCTTACAGGTTCTTCAGGGAATCCTCCATGACTGGAGGTCATTTGCTTGTTCTCTGTGGCACCTTTCAATCATTCCACATCCTGGCATACGTAGAAAATGATAATATTTGCCAGTGTAAACTTATGCTAAGGGGTTGCCTGTAGCCAGAAGATACTGTTGCTGGGCCCCTGTTTCCCTAAGACCCTCCCTCCCCACGTCTTCCAGGGCTGAGTGGATCCATATTGAACACGTCATCCCTAATTCTTTAGTGTTAGTGTCCCGCACAGACATTGGGAAGCTTGAACTCTCATTTGTAAAGTTTTTTGAAATATCTGTATTGAGTTTAAATTTCTATGACCTTTTGTGATATTTATATAGATGATAGATTGTACATAGTTATGGAGCTTATAGAAGGAGCCCCGCTTGGAGAGCATTTCAGTTCTTTGAAGGAAAAACATCACCATTTTACTGAAGAAAGACTATGGAAAATATTTATACAGGTATGTTTTTATCTTCATTAAATTTTTCTTGAAACAGTAAAGTTCTGAGCTGGCTTCTTAAAGACATGTGCAGTAGTCATCATTGGCTATATGTATGTTGGGGGAAATAAAATTTGTTTTCTATTCATTGTTTCAAGCTGTGCTTAGCTCTTCGATACTTACACAAGGAGAAGAGGATTGTCCATAGAGATCTGACACCAAACAACATTATGTTGGGGGATAAGGACAAAGTAACAGTTAGTAAGTATAAAGATTTTAAACCTTTTAACTAAAGAATCCCTTAATACTATTCTAGAGCAGTAGTGTCCAATAGAACTTTTGGCACTCATGGGAATGTTCTTTGTCTGTGCTGTCCGGTACCACAGCCACTAGCCACATGTGGCTATTGAGCACTTGAAATGTGATGAATGTGACTGAGGAAATACATCTTAAATTTTAATTAATTGTTTTTTCTTTTCTTTTTTCTTTTTTTTTGAGACAGAGTCTTGCTCTGTCACCCAGGCTGGAGTGCAGTGGTACTATTTCAGCTCACTGCGCCTTCCACCTCCTGGGTTTCCAGTGATTCTTGTGCCTCAGCATCCCGAGTAGCTGGGATTACGGGCACCCGCCACCAAGCCCACCTAATTTTTGTATTTGTAGTAGAGACAGGGTTTCACCATGTTGGCCAGGCTGGTCTCGAACTCCTGGCCTTGTGTGATTCACCTGCCTCGTCCTCCCAAAGTGCTGGGATTGCAGGCGTGAGCCCCTATGCCCGACCAAATTTTATGAAATTTTAATTTAGACATCCCTATGTGATGAATGGCTACCATGTTGGACAGTGACTAGTGTAGTTCTAAATGAGCTGTATTTTGCCCATATGAGAGAATGAACTACTCTTAGAATACTAAGTATTTAATTCCAAAATCAATGCTTTTCAGGTTTTTTCTTACTGCAGAACACTGCCTCATCAACAAAAGCTTTTATGACCACCATATGAGCGCATTGTTTTGAACCATTTTACCATAGTCTGTGCCTTATGAGTGACAGATGTACATATGGAGGGCTGTAAAACCTCTAGCCATTTGTATATTTCAACATAGAGTTTTTGTTACAATTTTTTTCATCTGTAGCAGGTAGGCCTGATGTTGGATAAAGTTTTGCCAATGAGAAGGTTTATTTTCTCCTCCCAATTGTTAAAGTCTTAATCATAACTTAAAATTAAGTTTTTAACTTAGGATGACATATTGGCTTTCTCCTGCCTGCCTCACGAACGCTTGTGTTACCCTCATGGACTTTAATGGTTCACTAACTACAATTAGGGAGACACTTTCCTAAACCAGCAGTCTCCAAATATTTTTCATCATAACATCCCAGCAGTAAAAATTTTTTAAGAATACACTGCCAATATACATAGGCTTATTTATAAATTCTATATGTGTATATTACTGAGCAAAGATTCTGTAGTAAATAACAAAGTCTACAGAAATAAAACATAAAGGGATATGTTTAAAAATAAAAATAGAGATCTTAATACTTTTGCTGCCCTCCACCCCATTGGGTTGCCTTGGAAACTCAGTGCTGGAGACTACTGCCATCAATGTTATTGATGTGGAGACATCATCGATGTCATATGACAACATATGACAGCATCTAAAGCTGAGTCCCTTAGTTTTAGAATTTAAGTACTCATGAAGGCAATTCCAAATGTACACATTTGCTATAACAACATGTGTTCAGGAACGATAAGAGTTACCATCTAGATTTTTATAAGTAGAACATCATCTTAATATATTAATATTAATATATTTGTATATTAATATATTTGTTGAAAAATAAAAAACAACCTACAACAGAAACTCTAGATAACCTTCAATACAGAGCTAGCTACCTGGAAATATTTCCAAGCCAATGCATTGTGAAATTAAAAAAGGGACAAAATAACTTGAATCTTTATCTTGGACACACATTTGCTTAATCATTTGAAATTAATTATAACTTTGTTTACCTTAGGCTTTTATGTTTTCTCTTTTTATAAATTGAATTTATATTTCCTGAAAATTTTTTACAATTTATTTATATGCTGGTATGTCAATTTACAAGTTAATAAGGATTATTATAAATTATGTTTTAATTTTATAACAAATTATATATATATACATATATAACACAGTTATGCATATATACAACAGAGCAAACATGTTTAATCCTCCTTAAATGGCTGTTCAGGCCATATTTTCTGAGTAATAACTAACTCTGCATTTTATTTTCTTACAAAAATTAGTTGTAATCATTTCCTTTCGTTACATTTAAATGTACTAAGCTTAATCTTTTATTGCAGTAGCCTGGTTTATTTTTTTCTAAACTTATATTTGCTTTCTTTAATCATTATCACACATCAAAATAGTTTACAAAATAAAAAGCTTATAGAGAAAAACAGTTTCATGCCCCACCCCTTTGAAACACTTAGTTCTCTTTGCACAAAACAGCTACTTCTCCACTTTTTATTCTTTTTCTTATATGGTATTTGATTTTCTATTGTAACGGGTGAGAATTTAGTTTTCTTTCTTCTTCTTCCCCATCTACCATCCTGCCAGTACAGTTATAGCAGAATTTTATGTTAAGTCAATATTCAATGTTCACATTATTATCACTGTGTAATTACTGTTAGATGTTGATTACCTATCCTTTCTCATAGATCGTTTCGTTTTTCTTAGAGTTAATGATTGCCTTCTTTTTTATTTGTGTTCCTAGTTTTCTTTGTACCTATTTTTTACTTTTCTCCAAATCTTCCAGAAGAATTATAAAGCCGTCTCAGTACTGTTTCTACATGATCAAACCTGACAAGTACTCCCACTTTTGTTTTCCTGGACTCCTTGTTCCTGCAGCTGCTTGTTGCAGTGTACTCTGGGTTTCACTTTAGGCCTGCTGCACAGCCATTGTCATGGAACTATTGTTTATTGGTCTTCCAGTTGTAGACTCTGTTTCTTATATTCTGTGTCTTTTTCTTTGTAAACTCCCCTGCTCTGCTGAAGCATGTCTTCTGGTACTTTTCTAAGAAAGAGTGCTTTGGGCGTTATGTTTTTCAGATGTTCACTTGCTACAGATATTTTTATGGGACCCTCTTATTGGACTGGTAGTTTGGCTTGGTGTATGTATTCTCAGAGGAAAGTCCTTGTTCTCTCAAGTTTTAAAGGCATTTCTCCAGTCTTCTAGCATCTAGTTTTGCTGTCAGGAAATCCAGTGTTCTTCTGATGCCTATTTCTTGATACATAAAGTATTTTATCACTCTGGAAAATTTCAGAATGTTCCCTTTATCCACTGCTTTGGATGAGTCTTTAAAATCCAATGTGTCTGTAGTTAGGTGTGCTCTTCAATCTGGAGACTTAAAGTTTAAGTCCTGGGAAGTTTCCTTGCATTATTTCTTCACTAGTCTTCTCCCCTCTGCTCTCTCTGTTTTGATTTTTAGAGTTCTTTTTAGTCTTAGATACCCAAATGGTCTCCTAATTTTAAAAATAATTATCTTAGTTCTTAACTGTTTGTCTCTTTGTTGTAATTGAGTTATTTCTTCAACTTTCTTTCCCATTCCATTGCATATTAAATTTATATTATCATATTTTAATTTCAAAAAATGTTATCTTATTTTGTGTTTTATTTTTATGGAAGCCTGTTTTTATTCTTTCTCAGGGTAATATAGACTTTTTTTTTCTTCAGCATCCTGAATTGTTTCTGTATCTTCTGAAGGTGTGTGTGTGTATATATATATATACGTGTGTGTGTGTGTGTGTATACGCATATATATACACACACACACACACCATACATACATATACATACATATATAACACTAAGCAGGAGTATATATACACATTTTATTCCTGCTTAGTCTTATCTCTCTTTCTGGCTGGGGTTTTTCTCAACTGTCTTGTGACCCTGTGCTGGTCTTTAATAATTCTGAGGAAGTCATGATAAAAGCTGTTGGAAGCACTGTGAGTTCCAGTTGAGGCTGTCATCTGGTGCCCTTCCTTATAGTAAAATGGAAATTTTCCTTTGAAGACTCCAAAATCAGTATCTAAACTTTTATTTTTCTAGAGAATACTCTTTGAGTATCTTGCCTGGGGTTATGTGCACCTGTTTGCTGGCATTCTGGGAGCAGCATCGACAAACAGGACTCAGGGAACCACATTTAGTTTATAGATTTTTGTTGAATTCTACTCTGCTTGGTTCCTTGCTGTTTTATTTCTTTGAAAAATGAATATTTTCTGTTAGTGGCAGAGGGTGCTTGATTTACTGGCTGTGTGTATGTGGGAGGGCACCTGGGAACTTTTTCTCAATTCTATGTATTGAGCTTTCTGCTTCTCTTCTCCCTTGGATGGCACCCTGGGCTCTGCAGGGTAAATGGGCTCCCCTCAGCCTTCCTCCTCAGACACATGGGTGGCACTTTGGCTCTGCTGAGTCTGACATCATCTTCTATCTGCTTTCCATCTGCCACACATTTATTGGAATATCTCATCCTCTGTTGTTGCCAAGCCCATTCTCATTGTTCCTGTAGGTTAGTAACATTCCAAAGAATATCCCCTCTCCCAGCTTTTTCTTTTTTTTTCCATTTTAGTAGGGTTTGAGATTTAGAGGAGATAAAAGCATATAGTCAATTTACCTTTTAACCCAAAATGGGCAGGCTAGTTACATTCTAAGTTTACACATTTGACTTAAAACATCCCATTTTCATGTTGACTCTCTAATAAATATATTTATTTCTACTTGCATTCCAGTCATATAGGACTCCCTAGAAAAAGTTACTTTGTTTTACAAAAACAAGCAGACCTTTGTTTTGTCCTTCCCTGTCCTGCCCTTCAGTGTTATTTTACTCAATATTATTAATATTTATCAGAGTTCTACTTAGGAGTTATACAATTAAAGAATTACTTCCATTTTTTTTTTTTTTTTTTTTTTTTTTGAGATGGAGTCTCACTCTGTCGCCAGGCTGGAGTGCAGTGGCATGATCTCGGCTCACTGCAACCTCTGCCTCTTGGGTTCAAGTGATTCTCCCACCTCAACCTCCCGAGAAGCTGGGACTACAGGTGCATGCCACCACGCCCAGTCAATTTTTGTATTTTAGTAGAGACGGGGTTTCACCATGTTGGCCAGGATGGTCTCGATCTCTTGACCTTGTGATCCGCCCTCCTCGACCTCCCAAAGTGCTGGGATAATAGGCATGAGCCACCACGCCCTGCCTACTTCCAGATTTTAAGGCCATTTAGCTT